ATACATCTCATATTTAATCGCCTACTAATGTTGGTATCCTTCCCTTGTAAGCACTGAGATATTTAGTGAAGCGGGATAACTGTGAAACTGTCAATATCGTTAATCTTCTTAAAATATATTGTCATCCGCTTTACTATCTAATCCACAATGCATTTCTAGTGGTCAACAGTCAAATCTTGAAATGGACTATAGCAGGGTTCCCTCATACTACGCCGCAGGCTGCGGCAGACTGCGGCTTATGCCGCAGAACGCGACACCTGCACTAGCCTGCTGCGTTCTGCGGCGTGCACAGCCGCAGTCGCATGTGATACAAGGTAAAGGAAAAAGAAAACTGGAAACTCTAAGCGGATACTCCTAGTATGAAGGAACCCTAACACACGCCATATCTAATCCGCTGATCATTTCATCCACTTCGCTGTCGGTCAAACCACTGCTAACCAATACGAAAACCGATGCCCACTTGATCCACTTTGTCACTAGTCTCTTCATCGATCTGACCGACAAGTGGATGAATTGGATCAAGCGGATCAACTATAGCGTGTGTCAGAACAATTTTGAATGAACTGTTAAGGCGTAAAATTGCATGCAGCCGTGATGTGCGACAGCGGACATTTTATTTCACGGTTCATGGGGTGGGTGCAAGTTAATTGCTCAGCTGCAGCTTTTCGGAACCATAGATGAGAGTTTCGGAAAATTTTGCACCCAAAGCCCTGATTTAGGGCAGCGCTGTCATTTTATCGCGCGTTGCGTTGTTGATGTCGCGACACAGGTGATGGGCACACACGTAGTGGTCGTGGTAAACAAGCTGGACTTGAGCTGTTTTGCAGCGCCCTGCAGAATTAATGCTGATGTTTTTCTCACTTAGTACCCTTCGTGTTATGAAGCACCCGCTTTGTAGTTGATTGCGCTTTCTTGGATATGGAAGTAACCATAAACCGTCCATTTCTACGTAAACTTGTCGTAATACTTCTGTTTTTCTGTTGCGTATACATCCACATTAACATGCTTATGTTCAGAATGGGTAATTCCCTGGACCGGTTTGCTGGCTACGAGGACGAATCGCCACCAGATGCTCAGGAATCTAGAAAAAGAAGAAACGGTGAATCAAACGATTCTCCTCCGAAGAAGATCACAAAGCTGGATACTGCCAAATACGTTTATGAGCGATTATTCTTGCAGGTAAGAGCTTTTGTTCTTTCTTTATTTTTTCATTTTGTAGTTTTTATAAATTTTCTTCCATTTTGCATTTGTTCTTCATGTTATTTCTTTTCCATTGTGCTTTTGCTATACATTTGTGGAGGACATTATGACCAAAAGTGTTGAAGTGTTTTATGAATACTGTTAGAAAAGCGACCATGATCTTGATGGGAAGATATTTTGTGAACACTACGATGAAAGAGATTAGTATGATCTGTCCGTCCATCCTGACTGGTTTGATCTAGGTGCATGTTAAGGCAAGCTTTTCGCTCATTTATGTTGTTTCTTTTTGTTTTGGACCAGGCCTTAGCATTATTATAGAGAACTCCGTGTTTCCTGCAGTTTTCATAAACACGGAAGGATAGCCTGCTCTTCGGTGCTTGATAAACGCAGAAATCTCATTCCTTTGAAAGGGAAACACTGAGCCAGCCATGTCTTGCTAGAGGAAGAAGCGCGATGCTTCATAGATTGCAGCATCATCGTAAACATACTTTTGTCTCCTGCAGTTTCCATGAAACTAGTGCAAAAACCTGCTTTTTAATGCTTAATAAATTCATGAACCTCATTTCCAAAGAAAAACCATATGAGCCAGCCGTGTTCTTGCTAGAAGAATGTTTTAATTGCTTTGAGACTTTGTTTCTAGCCAGGATATGGTCCTCAATGACAGCTATATTCATGCGCTGCACCCAAAGATGCTATCCAAGTGCGTCCTAAAGAGCAAAATAATGTAAAACCATCTTTACGCAGTTCGCGAGGGTACTTTCGTTTTTTAAATTCTATGAAGATTCTTATAAATAGTGACTTCTAAAACATTGCAAATTCAAATTTCCACAAGTAGGCCTTGCTCAGCCTGCTTCTTGTTCCGTGTGTCATCAAATGGGCACTGGCAGAGTTATCACCCATCATTTCTGAAGAACAATCCGTCTTGTTGCAGTTTCGTAGTGTGACGTACCCGCGCTGACTTTGTTTAGAGATTGTGAATAAAAATCACTAATTAAAGTTTGGTGTTACCTTGCATGAAATCTATTCATCGTGTTGTTTCTGGACTATGTTTGGTATTTTTCGTACTTTCCTTGCCACGTTTTCTCCACTAGTTTATGAAGTTCACTTTACTCTGTTACCTTTCCTGTTATGCAATGTTTTTGGTTACTATCAACTAGCTTTTAAACTCAGGGCGAAGGATCAGACGTGACAGTTCATGCACTTGGTCATGTTTGGCATCTGCATAAGCTTTACTTGCAGCAATGCAAGTATTTTGAGGTGCGTTTCCAGTGCCTTTATGAAAATCTTGACTTCGTTCTGTAAATTATCGCCTAAGACTTCAGGTGCTGATGCGAGGGGACTGGAGAGATTCAAAGGAAGATGTGCTCTATCTCAATTTTCCTGACGAAAATGTGACTCAAGAAGGTAAAAATGATTTTGCTGAGTTATTTTTACGTTTTTTTGTCGTGAGTCTCATTGGATCTGTAAAAAGTTTCCCAATCAATGCGATCGATGGTTGCCCATATCACAATCCAAGTTCAATTTCGGAGATTCAGTGCAGACTCCATGCACTTATCTGTGTTCTATTCTTTTGTATATCGTCATTGTTATCGATTACCTTTTATTGTTATGAGATCCACAAGTTGTTCAGGCTCATAATTGCAGCAAACCAGTTCTGTTTGACGCAAACCTAATTATCAGGTCTTCATGCTGTTTTGGGCTCCCTGTATCACAATCAAATAGAGCTCGATCTGGACAACGCCGAAGGAGTACTGTCAGCTGCGTCAGTGCTGCAGCTGGTTGGTTCTGTTGCTCTTTTGATGCACTGATTCAAAACACAGTGTATAGTTTTGATTTAATTTTTAGGAGAGTGTTTTGGAACGTTGTGGCGATGCTATGGCTGAGAATCTTTCTGTCGATAATGCTTTGCGTTATCTGAATCTTGCAGAAATGTATGGATTGCCACAGGTTGGTTTGCGTGGTCTATTCAGGAAGCTCTTTTAAATAGGGGATGATCCCAACTTAAGTTAGCCGATTGGAATGAATCGTATATCATTAGATGCGTCCTGATGAGCTGATTCCGAATCTAGATTCCATATCTGTGACGCCGTTCCCTGGAAGAAGTTATAAGGTTCAATGTTCAGCCTTGGCAAGCATCTTGCGCCACATTCTCAAGGATAGTTGTTCAAAGACACTTATCTTCGTCTCCGGCAAATATGAGCATCCCTTAAAAACCTTTACACTCAATATCCTGCTAGTCCTGCATTTTCAAGTTGGATTCCAAAGTTCATCGTGGGTCAGAAATCTAGTGACTTCACATAATCAACCGCATTCAGCGTGAAGGTGCTGGAGCTCTAATGATGATGTGCCTCGAAATCCAACTTGAAATGCAAGACTAGCAAGATATTGAGTGTACTGATTTCAGCAAATGCTCACATTTACCGGAGACGCAAATAACTGTTTTTAACAATAGTTCTTGAGATGTGGCGCTGAAAGTTTGCCAAATTTGATCATTTGAACGCTTATAACTTCTTCCAGGGAATGGCATCGCAGATAAGGAATGTAGATTTGGAATCAGC